ATCTGTAGAGTTGTAATAATAGTAAAATAATAGAAACATAAATAAATGATAAATTAGTTAAAGAGGTAGTAATACAATAATCTAAATATAAATACTACATGCATACCTTGCTATGGCGGCAGAGAAGGAGGTTGAACTCTATAGAATAGGACGGAGGAATAGGGCTGAGAGATAAAAAGGGGTAAAACTTTTAATAAGATATAACTTAATTTTTTAAGAGATAAAAGGGTTAGAAGACTTTTAATTTTAGTGGGTTAAAAAGAAAACAACTTCTGAGCTGACACGTTAGGGAGTTGGTTTGTGGAGTAGATATTAGTGGGGCTGTAGCGGTACCGTTTATTTATTCCTTAGCATGTTGCCCAAAATTCAAGATTTGTAACTTTAATAAGTGTCCTAAAAAGTCAAGATTTTTTTGTCAGGGACGATGTGATAGGTAGTGTATATAAAATAATTATTAAAAGATCATCTAAAATATTATAAGTGTGAAATCAAAAATTGTGGCAAATAACCTTTGTTGACAATTTGAGGATGCATTAAATTTTGGTGGCATCATTAAAAATGGAGCGGTACTGCTACAGCCCCCACCAATATCTACTCCACAAACCAACTATCTGACGTGTCAGCTCAGTAGTTGTTTTCTTTTTAACCCACTAAAATTAAAAGTCTTCTAACTCTTTTTTATCCCTTAAAAAATTAAGTTATATCTTATTAAAAGTTTACCCCTTTTTATCTCTCAGCCCTATTCCTCCGTCCTATTCTACAGAATTCAACCTCCTTCTCTGCCGCCATATCAAAGGTATGCTTGTAATATTTATATTTAGATTATTGTATTACTACCTCTTTAACTAATTTATCATTTATTTATGTTTCTATTATTTTACTATTATTACAACTCTACAGATTTAAATACGTAAGACAAAAAAAAAGCATACTTTGGTTCTAGTTATAGGTATAGTTATTTATTTATGTTTTCATATTAGTTTTTTTCTCCTTTTTTTATTGTTATTAATCTAAAATTTACAATATTTCATGTTCTTGTTACCATGTCTACTAATCTGAAGCATTTAAAATCAATATTTGTGTTTTCAATTTATGTTGGAAAGAAGATCGGATGAGAGAGAAAGAGAGAGATAGATTTGGCCAAATAGTAAGGAAAATAAAATTGACAAGTTAGGGAGTACTTAAGGCGGTGAAAAGTTGACGGGAGAAGGATCATTATTAATAAATTAACATAAAAAAAAGGTGGTTTGATCCATGAAATGACAAACTAGGTAGCTTGGGGTAAGCTTCTATAAATACCGGAACCTTTAGATGATTTTATTTCATCAAGTAGCTATACTTTATTACAGCACATACTAAAAATGACTTGTTCTAATTCACAATATTATCTCTCTCTGTTCCTCCTCCTCCTCCCATCTCTATTTTTCACTCTTTCTTCCTCCCACTCCATAACCCTACCCTTCTCCGCCCCTAAAACGCCCAACCACCACTTATCCGCCGCAACCAAAACCCTATGGCAACAGCTGCGTCATATGGCCATCGCCCGGTCGTCCAACATCTCCTCGACTACCCCTCTCTCCGCTTTCCCTGTCGGTACCATCTCCCTCGCCTTCGGCACGCCGCAAAAAAACCTTCTTTTCGCCTTGTCCGGCAGTGCCAGCATAACCTCGATCCCATGCGGGGCCAACTTCTCGTGCCGCGACGGCTGCAAAGATATTCTCACATTCAAGCCCGAACTATCCAACTCTTCCGCTTTAGTTTACTGCAACGACACGTTATTGCAAGAAATTGTCTCCCGGGATCTTGTCCCCGTGTGTTTCCAAGAATGCACCGCAGCAAACGACTCGTGCGTGGCGGAGTACATCGACGACGAAGGCTCATTGTCAATGTCGGGGGTTATTTTATCCGAGTCCCTAACCCTACCCGGGGTGAAGGGCCAGGCCAACAATCTCCTTGTCGGGTGCGCTTCCGAGTCAGATGGATGGCCCCAAGGCATGGGGATCGCCGCGTTCAGGCGAGTCCCTTCGTCCCTCGTGTCCCAACTCAATGTCACGAAGTTCTCGCACTGCTTTGTCTCGAAGATATACGAAGGCGACCGTAATGTAAGCGGTGCTTTGGTTCTCACATGGGGGGAAGAAGAAGAAGAACAAGAAGAAGAAGAAGAAGAAGAAGAAGAAGAAGAAGAAGATAAGGGGACATAAGACATCATTCGCTACACTCCATTCGCCGACTTCCCGGAATGGTTGTCAGGATATTACTATGTGAATGTAGATAAGATTTTAGTCGGGGGAATCGAGGTGGATGTCCCGACGGAGTATCTGAAGCCAGATGAGGATGGCAACGGGGGAATGAAAGTGGAGGTCGGGTACACAGTCTCGGTCATGGACGAACGCGTGTTCAAACCGTTCGTGCAGGAGTTTGAGAAGCAAGTTGGGACAATGTACAACAGGGCTACGGAGGTTAAGAACAATACTTCGTACCAGCCGTGTTATAATATTGATTCGGATATAAGTGGCATGCCGGGATTGGTTTTCAATCTCCAAGGGGGGGCGAGTTGGTTGTGCCGGTTGAAAATTACATTGGGTATTGGAACGACTCGGTTATTTGCATGATGATATGGTCTAATGATAGTGAGACGACGAGAGATGATTATGAGCTGGGCAGGCCTGCGATCGTTTTGGGTCAGTGGCAGATGCAGAACGTTTACGTGGAATACGATTTGGCCAACAATCGTCATGGGCTCCAGCCCAGAAACTGCTCGCAAGGTTCTTAGTTATTAAGAGACAAATCATCAGGCACTGGCCCTGGTCTCCAATACATCTCTACTTCAATATATTTATGTATGTGTGTGTGTTTACCAGTGTTGGGAATAAGGCTTTGTTGGTCATAGTTGTTGAGACATAATTGCCGTCAGAGCATATAGAGTACGATATGTCTAATTAAATGTTATGTGAGTGTTTGTTAGTTGTTATCTAACTCAATATTCCGTTGAAATTTTCTTTTTTTCTTAGACTAACCCATATTATACAT